CTATACCTCTTAAAAAATCACCCGTTATATGCGATGTGGTAAGGTATCCTTTTATTGTAGTTCTACAGTTTTGTGATCACTTGTCGTTCTGTAGTTCTACGATTCGAAGCCTAACCATTTCTGATCCGGTTTGGTCACAAATATATCCGGAACGCTTCTATGAAAAAATTAACAAGGTTTTGAAATTTTGGGGTTAGCTCTAACTCAAAATCGAATAAAAATTAAGCAACCTGTAAGTAGTCAGCACTGTCAAATTGCTACGGTTCACTCTAGTTGTCATAAAAACTCTTGCTTTTCCAACCACCCTCATTTGCTATCGCTGTCAAAAATAACTCTATCATATCTCTATTGTCATCGAGGCAGTGGCGGTTCTAAGAGCTCTGGGGCCCGGAGCACCAAGTTCGTATGGGACCCCTGTATGGTTAAAGAACGCGGATCCTACCCCCTCCGGGTTATGCTGGGACGTCATATTGGGAAGCACTGAGGTCCCATAAAACGCAGTCTGGGCCCCTTAAATCTCTGCATCAAGCTAGTCGTAATAACCCGATCATTTTGAATAGGATTGTATTAACTACCGTCAACAAGAAATTGATAATATTTACATTCGGAAGATAATAATAGTACTTTCGATGTAATCCATTCTTGAGAAAAGTAGAAATATGTATAAAATTCGTGCGTATGAAGATGATTTGGAGAGAATTAGTGCAGTTTTCTGCGTTGCTTAAATCTGATGAGGCTGGTATTATTGACAGCAAGAAGCATGTGGCTTTGGAGATGCATTTTTACAAGCTTTTGGTGAATAATTCTTCAGAATCTTGTTTAATAGATGTATGTGCGCATTAATTTGCCTCTCGTGATCACCAACTGCTGTGGTGAACGTCCTTTCTCAACGTCAAAACGTCCAAAAAATGAGTTAAGGAACACGATGATCCAAGAACGGCTTAATAACATCACGTTGATGAATATTGAATATTATTTGCTCAAGTATCATTTCTAATTTTACCCAAATTAGATCTAGAAGAGCGTTGTTGTATTTAATACCATAAATTCGATAACCTAAAGCAGACTAAGTGCCACTTGATATAATTTGCTACAGGCCCTGCGCTGGATTAATCCAGCACTGACCAACTTAATAGCACTCATCCTCCACAATTAATTATAAAGGTTGTTCCTTGCAAAAACATGGAACAATCTATAATAATCCTTCTCGATTCTACCAATATATGTAATGCATTTTGCTTTGTAGGTAACCTCATTCCTTTCTCTGTGATGTGTAATTTAAAGGTACATCACCAAGTTTATTATTTTTTTATTGGTCTGGGTACCAGGGCATGAAGGGCACCAAGGAAATGAAAATGCAGATGAGCTAGCCCAACAGGGTGTGGCCAATAGCCTTATAAGTCCAGAGCCTTTCACTGGCGTGACAAGAGCACGCACTCAACAGTCCTTACGAAATTGAACCAAGAAGAAGTCCCTAGAAGGGTGGAACCGCCAATTAGGGCAAAGACAGGCAAATTTGTTCCTCCTGCTCTACAGTAACCTGTCCTTCACGAGGGCGAATATTAGTGGGCTGAACGCTTCCTGTATCACGAAGTCTTTGGTACACTTGCACAAATGTCCTTCTGTCTGGGTGTACCCGGTGACGAAATCTGTCATCGATGAGAGCTTTTAGGAGCAAAGCCTTTAGCTTAGCGGTAGAAGGGAGCTAGATCGCCGACGGCGCACCGGTGCGAAAGTGTCCCCAGATTGTCCGTTAGAGAAGAGTCATCGATCAGTAAATGTTTTTTGCGAAGCAAAATTAGTCCTTAAGATAGTTTCGATTCATTCTGATAGCTGTCACTGTCACTGATTGACTGGCGTTCTCTGAATTGTCAGAAGGTTCTGTACGAACAGCGGACTAGCTGACGGCAAACAGTCAGAAACTGTACGAACAGGTAACATCTCAAAGTTCAAGTCATCGTTGGTTATCAGAACGGTCCGTGGCACCCTAGCTCTTGAGTCACAGTGTCAGCTTGTAAATCTGTCAGGTCTGGTAACCCAGAAACCAGACAATTTTAAAGAAAAAATGGAAGGAAAGGAGAGAAGGAAGAACGAGAGCAAAGGGAAGAAGAGAATATTTTAGGATAGACAGCGTTTAGGCATTGTTAAAATCACTTCACAGATTTTGATATGGTCTAAAAATATTCGATTTTTTCTAAAGATTTTGTCAAAATGCTCCAATTTTGGTTGTTCCTAGTTCACGAATTAATTTTGATTACAGTGCGAACCGCGGCCTTTTGTGCTTGCGAACTTGCTCAACTGTGTAGTCCGCTGACTCGCGCAACACAGGGTTGATGTGCGATTCCGCTAGACTATAGCACCGCTGCGTCTGTTGCTTAATGTTGTCCTTTAGGTAAGGGACATCGAGGTCTCTATGTAAAGTTTCGTTAGAGACATGCCATGGGGCGTCAGCAATAGTGCGCAAGGCTGCTTTGCAGAACCTGCAGATTTCGCATGTGTGTTTTAGCAATAAAACACCAAGTCGCACATGCGTAAGTCATTGCTGGTCTTATGACCACCTTATAGAGTCAAATCTTGTTAATCAAACTTAATTTTGAATGTTTACATAATAATGGTTAAGCTGTCGAAACGTAATTTGGAATTTAGTTTTTAGCGCTTCTATATGGTTCCGCCAAGTCATCCCTTTGCCCAGAATGACAACGAGATACTTAGCGGAGGATTCTCATGGTATACGAAATCCATTCATTGAAACTTCAGACGGTACGCCGCGACGTCTTTTTGTACAGTAGATTGCCTGCGTTTTCGAATGGTTAATTTTAATTAGCCACCGATCCGCCCAATCTAATACTTCCTCCACCGCACTTTGCAACCTGTCATGGACTAGGTGACCAGATTACGACTGAGCCACCAATGCAGTATCGTCAGCATAGAGATAGACTTCACAGTTGCTGGGACTAGGGACGTCATGGATGTACAGTTAGTAAAGGATAGGTCCAAGGACCGAGCCCTGAGGGACGCCGGCTGTAATCAGCCGTGTTGTCGACAGGACATTGTCAATTTTGATCCGAAATTTCCTACCTTCAAGGAAGGATTTCAGATTTAGAAGCCAAAAAAGGAAGCCCTTTTGGATTAGTTTATACAGGAGGCCCGCGTGCCACACCTTGTCAAATCCTTTTGAGACATCCCAAAGCAAGATGCCAGTACTTTCGTTAAGGGTGAATCCTATGGCTACTCGTTCCACCAGCCTAACCGCCTGTAGCTCCTTACTATGTTCACACCGAAAACCGAATTGCACGTCAGGAATCACATGGTGATCTGACGAGAAATTCTCAAGGTGACGTAGAATCACCTTTTCAGCGAGCTTTGACGGAGCTGACAGCAGGCTAATGGGACGATAATCCTGGGGAAATGTCGAACCCACCTTCTTTGGAATCGTTATAACTTCAGCGATCTTCCACGCGGATGGGAAGCACTGGATCCTTAGCATGGCACGAGATAGGTTAAGAACTTCCGCGAAAACAGGTTCAGCTCCTTATTAGTGATTTGATCCTCCCCATGTGATTTACGCACTTTAAGGTCTTTAATATGACCTTGAATCTCTGCTAGTATGCAGTGCGGGATCGCGGGAGATGCCGCTGATGTGCTAAGCAAATCTTCGGTTGAAGAAGAATCTTCTGATGAAGAAAAATCACCGAATGTCACTGACACCGTTTGCGCTAAAATATCTCCTGACAAATCTTACGATATGTTGCTCCTCGTCGAGGTCATTATCAAGATCATAGTTGGGAGAGAACTGTCTTTCCATGGCATCGACGAAAACCTCAACCTTTTCCTCTGACCTGGAGACAATGCCTCCAGGACCGTGGATGTGTGGGATTTGTTCACGCTTTCCGTTTTTGAGCGACTTCGCCACCTTCCAGAGAGGAATGCTTGAGTCAAGCATCCCCACCAGAAAGTCGTTCCATAGCTCATTGCGGAATTCATGAAGAGCATTTCTTACTTCATGAACAAGATTCGTCGCTCTGCGAACGTCATCAGCATGAAGGTAACATCTCTCTGATTCTGATTTTGACAGTCACCGACAAGCCATCGACTACTGTACGAACAAACCATAGATTGACATATGAGGCTGTTACTTCAGGCAGAAGAGTCTACATGCCGTTTCTGGAGAGAGCATGAGGAAACACCAGTACGATTTCAGATAAGCTACATGCAAGGCTGTGGAGTTTGATTAAAGGATCAAGGCTGAACACAGTGCTTTAGAAAGTATACATTGAAAACCAAGTACCACTGACGTCGTAATGTGTACGGGAAGCATGCAATGCGTGTGTTAGAGAGAGATAGCAGCACCCCGTTTCCTAGCAACCCGAGTACGAGGTCACGGATACCATCGCCGCATTCTTTCTTATATACATATTGCACGCATCTCGCGCGTCTCTATCGTACACATTACGACGTCAACCAACTTGGAACCTCTGCATATATGAGGCACAATAGATCCATTTGGGTCACAGTGGTCGTATCGCCAGTCATTCCTACAATTATAGGCTCCTTTATGGCCTCCTTGATTTTCATAGTTTTTTCTATCGTCCAGAAAAGCAGAGGTATTTCTAGATTTCTACTGTTTCGTCTCAGCGCTCTATTTGAGGATATATTTTCTTATTTAATTCTAAGGAATTTCAGGCTGATTAAACTTCTGTTTTATCAGCCTGAATTTTCTTAAGATTCAAAAAGAAAACCTAACCCCACAATAAGTGAGCGCTGACGCTGACACGGAACTGTAGAAACCTAGAAATACTCCAGCCTTTCTAAAGATGAGAAAGGAATATGAAAATCAAGGAATCCATGAAAGCGTCCTACAGGCTAGCAAGCCAACCCTTTTATTTTGTAATCTGTAATCTGCAAGTTCATTATTTGATCAACTTTCCTCTAAAACCGCATTGTGTGTGTGTGTGTGTGTACATTTTTGTGTTTACTATTTTTTATTATTTTTTTTGCAGTCTTCCATGAAGGGGAAGCAGCTCACGCAGTGAAGCGCTTCACGGGCTTGTACACCGGCCCCTATTTCGATCCTAGCACCACGACCAATATCACCACCCAGCTAGGCACCCACGCTTACATCCCCTGCAAGATCAAGCAGCTCGGCAACAAGTCCGTATCTTGGATTAGAAGGAGGGATGCGCATATTCTCACTGTAGATAGGTAAGTCATACAGTACTCAGGAACGAAGAAACCAAGTCTCAGATGATTATTCTTAGCCTGAGGCAGCACGACACCAATACACTAAAATCCATGAAGTTATTAGGGGTTTACATTGTTGAACACTTGTCGTGGGAAACTGATGTAATTCATGTTCTCGGTACATTAGCAAAATATATATATTTGCTAAGGAACTTGAAACTAAATGTCTCTGAGTCTGTTCTTCTTCTAGCATATTATTCCTACTTTAATCAAGAATTTCATATGCATTGTTAAACTGGGGTCACTAATCCCATTCGTCAAAAGTTTTTACCTTACAACGACGTTGCTTGCGATACACAGCTGGCCTCAAATTCCCGGAACCTTGCAAGGAAGCTTTCATAGAATTGAAAATCCTGTCAGTACCTTCTCTTTACATCTTCACATGTTTCATGTATATAAAGACTAGCCTGAACCAATATACTACCCACAGTTATAGAACCAGAAATATGGATAAGATCTTAATACCTCATAGCCGTCTTCAAACCATCAGGAACGGCACAAACTATTATGGAATGGTTTTTTGTAATCTGTTGCCAGACCGTATAAAGAAAACTGGATGCGAAAGCCTTTGAAAAAAATTTAATGCTTATCTGACTACTAAAACATTTTACTCGATCAACGAGTATTTAAGCAACAATTTTTTATATGTCTTACCATTTTAATGTATACTAAGTGACATATAAACACCCAATTCAAATGGTTTTATTTTAATAAAATTTTGTATAAGTACTTAATGAAGCATAATAAGTAAATGATAAAAATTTCAAAATGATTGCACTGCTTTAAAGCCCTTTAACCTTTAATAATGTGTGGATGCACCCTGATGTGCTACGCATTCTCCAACGCGCCTAGGCATGCTTCTGATCGGGTGGTCAATGTCCTCCTGTGGTATCTCATTCCAGGCAACCACCAACTCCTCTCGAAGTGCTTCTAGAGTCTGAGGAGGACGTTGCAAATTGAGCAATCTCCTACCCATCATATCCCACACGTGCTCAATTGGGGATAAGTCGGGAGATCTTGGTGGCCATGGTAACAATGTGACATCATTATGTTGAAAGAAGTCTATTGTGACTCTTGCAACATGTGGTCGGGCATTATCTTGTTGGAAAGTTGGATCTGCCAGGGTGTCAAGATAGGTTAAAAGATGGGGTTCTAGAACTTCGTGGATATAACGCTGCGCGTTCATGTTACCTCTGATGAAGATTAAAGGTGATCTGGAGCCATAAGCTATAGCAGCCCAAACCATAACTCCAACAGTGTGATGAACATGTCTTTCAACAAAAAACTGTGGATTCTTCCTTTCACCACGTGGCCTTCTAACCCTGGCACGAACATCGTGCATGCCTAAACAAAATCGAGACTCATCTCTAAAGACAATACTGTTCCATTCCTGATCCCAGAGTGACCGTTGTCTGCACCACTCAAGGCGATTACGTTGGTGTTCTCGAGTTAAAGGGAGGACCCAGTGTGGCCGGTATGAAAACAAGCCAAAACTTCTCATTCGTCGGTAAACACTTCGCATGCCATTAGGTCTTCCGTGTTCTGCAAACCATTCATTTGCAATGGATCTGGTAGTGGAGAGAAACGGTCCCTTAAGGCCAATAATCTTAGGCGGCGATCTTCACGGTCTGTTGTTCTACGGCGGCGTCCAGTGCCCGTTGCTCTTTGCGTACGGCCTTCTCGAAGCCATGGCTGACAACACCTAACCACAGTGTCTACACTTCTTTGCACTGTAACTGCAATTGCCCGAAAAGAAAGTCCAGCTTCCCGAAGTCCCACTATACGGCCCCTATCAAACTCACTAAGTTGACGAAATCGTACAGGTCTCCGTACTCTAGGCATCGTAACCGATCGTAAAGGATGTCAAGAACCAAAATCCGACAACGTTGATTCTTTACTGCGGCTGAAATATTCATTTTTAGAGCGTTAGTGAATTAAAAAAAAAGCAGTGTAAAAACCGGAATGTCCAACTGATAAGGCTGAAAATGTTTTCACTTGTTATTTACAGTAAGATAAATACATTCACCAAATTTTATTAAAATAAAACCATTTAAACTGGGTGTTCGGATTTATATGTCACTTAGTATATATATATATATGTATATGTGTGTATGTATATACGTATGTGTATATGTCCTGTCTCCTGTTTTTTACAACTTATAAGACTTGCTGTATCTGCTTTTATTGGATGATGATGCATCATATCGTGAGTTGATATATTTCTGTTTAATTTGAACATCAGTCATTTGTCAGACTGCTTTTGTATTATTTTTTTTCTGACTTGTGTAAACACGCTGGTGTACCTAACCCAAATAAAGAATTGAATTGAACAACATTTTACCGAACCCTCGGAAAAAACGACAAGCTGAAATTTGACGTGAGGGATATTAATGAAACTAGAAACCATCACTCCACCTTTACCAATGCTCTAAAAATATTACCGTTTATATGCAAAAATCTTCTTTATACCTGGGAAAATATGGAAGTCTTCAAAAAAATTATCGATAGAATAGAAGATGAGGGAATCAACTATAGCATTCGGTAATTCACTATATTACAAAAAACACGCAAATCTCTCGGAAAAGAAATCCTAATCTTTATTCTTAACATTATGTGTCCTGTTCGGTTCCTAAGAGCTTTTTTCCCGTATCATTTTGAGTATACTTAGGATTTGATAATATTTATAACACACGGGGATTATTGGATTCCTAATTCAACTACCATTGTAACATCCGCATGTTATTAATAAATAATTGTTCTGTCCTCAGAACGTCTGATGGTGGGACTATTAGCCGAAATACCTCATTAAAAATGAACCAAGACGTGTACTAAGCGTTCCATTTAACATGAATTTAATCTTTAATTGAAGTGAGTGATGCAAATTTGATGAGTCGTATTTGAATGCTAGAGAAATACTAATGGAGAAACGGCGTAAAGTAGATTGACATCCTGTATGTCAAATGGACCTTAAATGTATAGTATCTAAGCCAACTTTTGCACACATGAAAATCCGTGTACATAGAGCCGCTTAGAAAAATAATATCAATGAGAATAGGTATTGTTGATTTATAAAAATTGAATTTATGGACTTTCAATACCGTGTATATCATTTCTATATTATCGGGTATTTTTATTGAATATGGTCCTTTACAATTTATTGGGACTAATTTTTGAACACAAGATCTATCAAGTGGCCAAAACAAAATGTGCCCGTTTTACGACACTTTTGGGTTCTGGGCAACGCTGTCTCTGACCGCTTCAACCAATTCATTGGAACATCTTGGTCGTTGATGAACGGTATGTTGACGATCTCCCACTGTCAACCAAACGACGGATAGTGTTGTCAGACGGTGACTGTTTGCCGTGATATTTTTACCGATATGCACGTTGCGGTAACACAACTGAACGACGATTTACAATGTATACTAAGTGACATATAAATCCGAACACCCAGTTTAAATGGTTTTATTTTAATAAAAGTTGGTGAATGTATTTATCTTACTGTAAATAACAAGTGAAAAAATTTTCAGCCTTATCAGTTGGACATTCCGGTTTTTATACTGCTTTTTTTTAATTCACTAACGCTCTAAAAATGAATATTTCAGCCGCAGTAAAGAATCAACGTTGGCGGATTTTGGTTCTTGACATCCTTTACGATCGGTTACGATGCCTAGAGTACGGAGTCCTGTACGATTTCGTCAACTTAGTGAGTTTGATAGGGGCCGTATAGTGGGACTTCGGGAAGGTGGACTTTCTTTTCGGGCAATTGCAGTTAGAGTGCAAAGAAGTGCAGACACTGTGGTTAGGTGTTGTCAGGCATGGCTTCGAGAAGGCCGTACGCAAAGAGCAAGGGGCACTGGACGCCGCCGTAGAACAACAGACCGTGAAGATCGCCGCCTAAGATTATTGGCCTTAAGGGACCGTGGTGCAGTCAACGGTCACTCTGGGATCAGGAATGGTCTTTAGTGACGAGTCTCGATTTTGTTTAGGCATGCACGATGGTCGTGCCAGGGTTAGAAGGCGATGTGGTGAAAGGAGGAATCCACAGTTTTTTGTTGAAAGACATGTTCATCACACTGTTGGAGTTATCGTTTGGGGTGCTAAAGCTTATGGTTCCAGGTCACCTTTAATCTTCATCAGAGGTAACATGAACGCGCAGCGTTATATCCACGAAGCTCTAGAACCCCATCGTTTACCCTATCTTGACACCCTGGCAGATCCAACTTTCCAACAAGATAATGCCCGACCACATGTTGCAAGAGTTACAATAGACTTCTTTCAACATAATGATGTCACATTGTTACCATGGCCACCAAGATCTCCCGACTTATCCCCAATTGAGCACGTGTGGGATATGATGGGTAGGAGATTGCTCAATTTGCAACGTCCTCCTCAGACTCTAGAAGCACTTCGAGAGGAGTTGGTGGTTGCCTGGAATGAGATACCGCAGGAGGACATTGACCACCTGATCAGAAGCATGCCTAAGCGCGTTGGAGAATGCGTAGCACATCATGGTGCATCCACACATTATTAAAGGTCAAAGGGCTTTAAAGCAGTGCAATCATTTTGAAATTTTTATCATTTACATATTATGCTTCATTAAGTACTTATACAAAATATTATTAAAATAATACCATTTAAACTGGGTGTTCGGATTTATATGTCACTTAGTATATATTGTGACAATTTCGGCGCGTTGTTTCAGTGTAAAGCGATTCATGACTAAAATTGTAGTAAATTGACGTTTCGGAAACACGTATAACCCAATCACTCGGTTGGTAAATATCAAAGTCATTCGATGTTTCAATACCGACATAAAAGATGGCGCACCCGGTATTTATGGGATTAAAGCAATCCTATGATTAGTTTCTGAGAAATAGGCGGATAGATTGCCTGATTTGCGAAAATGGTGAATGGGCCGATTGTAATTCTCGGACAAAAACTCTGGGAATCATTATACT